AGGTATTGTTGCAGTCTTTCCCTCCCTACTAGTGTGCTCACCTCACCCCAAATTTTGGTATCATCAGCGAATTGAAACGGTGCATTTTACCCCGTCGTCCAAATTGCTGATGAAGAAATTGAACAGCGCGGGCCCAAGGACCGAGCCCTGGGGGACTCCACTGCCCACTTCCCGTCCACCGCCACCCTCTGAGTGCGACCCTTCAGCCAATCTGCAATCCATCTGACTGTCGCCTAGTTTTTTTTTAATGAGGATGGGGTGGGAGACAGTGTCAAACGCCTTGCTGAAGTCTAGAAAGACTACGTCCACGGCGACACCTGCATCCATTGCCTTTGTGACCTGATCGTAAAAGGCAATCAGGTTGGTCTGATATGACCTGCCCCTAATGAAACCGTGCTGGTTGCCCTTGAGCATCATCTCTGAAGCCAGCCCATCCCAGATGTGCTCCTGGATGAGCCGCTGGCAGCTCCATCCTACACCCTGCCTTGAAGCACCTGCCCCTAACTCCCTCCCTTGCCCTGGGGGCCTTGATGTCATCACCCCCACCCTGCCAGACTTACCAGGGAAGCTGCTCTCCCCACTGCCAGGCTGTATATTAGCTCAGTATCAGCCACTGGCCATCGGTATCAGCCCCCAAAAAATCTTTATCAGTGCACCCCTAAGCTTCCCCATTTAGCTACCTGAACCACCCAACCAACACTCAGTAACCAGATCATGGTACCAGAAGACACTCAAGCCCGTTAAGCTTGGGGAGGGGTAGCAGGCAAAAAAACCAAACAAACAAAAAAAACCCTCACACAAGAAACTCAATGCAGTTTTAATTAAAAAGTTATTAGATTTTTCTTTTCTTGAGAAGCAGACAGACTCAGACAACTGCTTTGATAAATCAATGGTTATAGCACAAAAGATTTTTCACTGGAATAGTTGCACAGTCCTGTTCTGCCATTTGACAATAAAAGGGGAACTTCAAAAGTTCACTGAGAATGACTACCAGCTTTAGTTTAGTCAACGTTTACCCCGAGAATCAGTGATGTACACAACTTTAGAAGAGTGGGTTACAACAAGTGTTATTCCATCACACTGACTGTACATACCTGCTTTAATTCCAGATGCAATGAAGATGAGACTCAGCCTTTTGGAAAACTGATATTCAAGCATTATGAATACAAATATACATATGTGACAGATGCTTATTACATACTCACATTTGCTACATCGCAGCACTGGGCTGACCAGCCTGGGTAAACATTTCTGGAGTACAGGAACATATAGATCAGGGGTGTCCAACCTTTTTGAATATGGGGCCAGATCATGAACTTTATCACCCAGTGGGCTAGTGAGCCATATTCAAAGACCTCACAGGAAGCGGTATCACATCACCCCCCCAAAACGACAGTACAGTGTTTACTTTAGTTTCCCATTGCAGCACCTCGGGCCTCAGAAAACAGTTTGGAGGGCTGCATGGTGGCCCGCGGGCCATATGTTGGACAAGCCTGATATAGATGAAATAAGTAAACTTAAAAGTATTCACAGGCCAGACCGTACCATTATATAAAAAGCATGACAATACGATTTAGAATGGTCATACAAGTACATCCAGTTACCCTATGGGTGACCTAAACAGTAATGAATAAGTTACAACAGCCACAGGTAGAGTTCTGTAACCCAAAGGCAGAATTCAAGCAACTCAGAGTCACTAACAGTTAATAAAAACTTGAGTTAGTCCAATCATCTGCCTATAAATCCTGGATGCATACAGGACAGGCAGGCATTTAAAAGGACAAAGTCTTAACCCTCTAGCATGTCTTTTACTAAACTACCAATTCAACTTTTTTTAAATACACAAATAGCTTGGAAAAAAAAGTTATGCAGGGACTGTTTTACGTTGCATAAGTTACCCAGATCTGCTTCTTTGTAAGCAACAGCTACACCTAAACAGAGACAAGTTCTTGCTCAAACAGTGCATGACACGTCAAGTTTGGAACCAGCATTTTTCTATGGTAAGAACATGCAGCATTTTTCTATACACCTTTGCCTTCCCTCAAGCCCTCTCCAAAACAGAATACAGGTTTCATTGTTAAATTAAGTGTACCACTTAGCCAATGCAGTGTTGTTTCTTCCAGGTGCGTCAAGAAGTTATTGCTTTATTCTACTGGTAACAAACTGTGAACTGAATTCTACAGCATTTAAGGCAATCCCCTGTAACACCTTAAGTGTGTTGTACGATACGTATGTTCATTTATACATCAAAATATTTAACTTGAAACAAAGTGTGGGAACACTTGATTAAAAGGATGCTGACAAACGGGAGTGGTTTACAGAGCAGCACCTTACTTGGAAAGCTACACAAGTTCAGACAGAGGCTGGATATTTATTTTCTTGGGATATACTAGACCCAGAGCACTGAAGCTTAGCAAGAACAGAAAAAGGAAGGACCCACTTTATTAGCTGACTGTCTGAGAACCATCTCGGACTATTTGCTGGACAGCAGAAAATATCTTGTATTCCTTGCTTTTTCATTCACAGTATGCTAGCTGAATCAAGGTTAAACCCAGACACTTTTTTTTTTTTTTTTTACAATGTTTAAGACAGGTCTCAGACAAAAAATTCTTAGCACCCTAATCAACTCTAGATACATTAAAATTCAATGGCAATGTGTTAATGCTCAGATTGTTTTCAGGCAACACCCTACAGTAACTCATTAACACGTTTTTCTGTTGGTCTAATAAAAGTCACTACACTAGTAATATATTGCTGGACCATTTCTGGTTTTAGAGTGACATTCTATAATGGGAGGAGGAAAAAGCTGGTGGGATTAAACATGTCGGGAATTCCACAGTAGCTGTCTCTCAGTGACTTGAGATGAAAATATTGTTTGCACTGAAACAAGGATTTATCTGTCAGCCTTATAAATCCACTGAGGTGACTGTCACAAGTCATTTGCTGATTTTTGATGACTTTTTTGAAAAAAAAAAAGTTTACTATGCAGAGTGCTTGGCAACAAACAAGTTCAGTATTCACACATATTAATATAATACTTATACATATAAAGAGGATACAGATCTTTATAAAGAGGAAAGGAGAAGGAATCTAAATTTAGGGCATACCACTTAAAACAGTGCTGTTGGAAAGTTGGCAGCATTTCTTTAAGCTCAAACTAGGCACATTTTAACTATACCCACTTCAGATCTGGTTGAGGAAAAACTTTACAGACATGACAGGACTGACATTTCAGGAAAGCTTTTTGCAAACTAAGTCAGTTTGAGCCTGAGTCACTGAGAGAGAAAAAATTGCATGAGGTTAATTGAAGCCATTTTCAGAGCAGAAGAATTACACTTTATTTAGATGAGCAGTTCAGCCATCCAAGAGTCTCCTATAAACATGCTAAAAAGCAATGCTATTAGTGAGAGATCTCAATGTATTAGAAAGGATCTTGTATTAACTATACAATGCATTTAAGGAATTTCACTGTGTAGGCTAGCAAGAATTACTGCAGCAAGCAAATGCCACCATCTCTTAACTTTAGCTGTTGGTTTTAAACACAACGTAGGTAAGCCGCATCAATACCACCAGATAACTCTGGACCAAGATCCAAAATAAACTTATTCATAAATCAAGCTTTAGACCCAATTCTATGTTGTCTACTATCTGTAATAAAGGTTAGGTTTCCAAGAAACATGACAATAAATGTCTCTGAAGAAGTGTGTCCTTTACAATAACATGAAGTAATCAGATGCTTTACAGGACTTGAGTGCAAGGAGTGAAGTGTGCCTACGTCCTTAGAGAAGACCAATCAATTCCATAAAAATGTTAAGTAATCTTTGTTTAGCTACTCAGGAAAGCTTTCCCTTTTCAGATTTAGGAAGGGGATTGAATTGACTGGACTCTAACACGGAGGAAGCAAAATACACCAGCATTGTTCTCAGGGCTCAGCAAACCAACAGACCAAAAGGACTACTTGTATTTGAAAGAGTTATAGGGTCTTATGTAGTTTTCAGGATTGGCCTGAGTGACTTCTATAGAATGAATAGGCAAAGAAATGCTTTGAACACACTCTGGAAACGTACTGACTCTGCCAAGAATCACTGTCTTAGAAGCAGGTCCTGCACACTGCATACGCAAGCAGAGTGTGCTATTTATGCCTGAATGAGGAAAGTTGGGCATCTTGCTTTCTTCATGAGGGAACGCCTACTAATACAGTTCAGCTACCTAGGATACACTGAAAAGCAGAAAAGTTCATTTTAAACTTACAGCAGAAAATACACTTTCCCCTCAGAAGATCAAGAGGAGAAACGTTACCTGGAACTGCATCCTAGATAACATGGTCAGGAACCAAACTCCCCCCACTTCTGAACCTCCACATTCATTCTCAGCACCACAGAAAAAAATAGAGAGGGGCTTCCTAAGAATCAGAGATTTCACTCTTCTGCTCCTTCAGCTTCAAACCCCTTCCCTTAAGGTCATCAGATTTGTAATTTTGGAATGCAAGGGCCTTTTCTGGGCCACAGAGGAAGACTGGTTCAGAAAAAAAAAGGTAATATATGTATACGAACAGAACAGCAGACAAACAGAAGTGGCTTACAAAAGCTTTTTCCCTTTTAATGTAACAAGACACTTCTGCATCAGGCTTAAGCATGGCTGCCGTTAGTAAACCATTAGCTTTTTCTAAGACTACAGTGAGTTCCACGTTGCCTCAACTTCTTTTCACTGTAAGCCTGTATTATTTGGAGTAAAGAAGCTTTTACCAGCATTCGCCATCACAACTAACACAAACAAAAAACCCCCAAACCAAAAAGAACACCCCCCCACCCCCCCCTTGAAGCAAAAACCCTGGCAAAGGTCCCAAAATGTAAGGATTTTTCTCCAGCTTCTCTTCAGTATGATACTGGACCAATCTACACTGAGAAGTCCTTCCAGAGGCTCTAGCAAGCAAAATTAGTTAGTACATGCTTCTTGCCATGTTCCCCCATACTGTGAATATACTGGTTTTGCATTTTGAACAACTGACCCATAGAAGAAATCATTCAAAAAGCCAGAAAAAAAACTATTCCTTGGCACAACTCTGCAGACACAGTAGTAAGTTCAGCCACCTGCGATAGCTAGTTTTAGTTTCAAATACCTGATGCCAGTGATATTTTTAAGAAGGTACCTGTTTCTGAATTAGTAATAAGAGTCACAGCTCTCTTCAAGCAGAAGGCTCTGGTACATTCAACTCTTTTTGCTTTTTATGACTCACAAAAGAAATCCCGTAAGTAAATGAAACTAAGATTTATCTGTTGTGGCGGCAGGATTTACAGGGCGCTGTCTTACAGCATTTGTTGAATAGTCTCTGTCTACCAACTCTTTATTCTCTGTTTCATCATCTGAAAGGTCTTCTTCATCTGCTTCTTGCTCCTCATCCAGTTTTTTCAAAAACAGGGATGATTCCGATGTTAATTTTTCTTAAAGAAAAAAACAGAAAAGTACTCTCAGCACCTCAGAAGTTGCTCACTTGAGCAAAGACGTATTTTAATAGAACTCCTGAGCAGTTTAAAGCAGTGATCCTTGATTAGGGTGCCATGGGACTCGTAAAAGAAAGGAAACATGGGGATTATCTAGTGTGGAGAAGAGAAAGCTGAGAGGGACTTTATTGGCTAGACAATGCCCTTGCTGGGGTCATTTGACCCCAGTACTCCTTTCTGCCATGGGTCAGACTTGATGATCTGCTCAGGTCCCTTCCGACCCTACTAACTATGAAACTATGAAACAGTCTTCAGATATCCGAAAGGTTGTTAAGAGTATGTTCAAGCATTTAAGTGTTGGAAAAACTACTTCCACCCAATCAGTAACAGTCTGGCTCTTCTAACCCTTGCCATTACTCTACCATAGAATTTAAGACACCAGGCAACCAGAATTTTTAAAAAGTTGCAAAAAATCACTGACTAAAGTTCTGACATTTTTGCTAACAGTGTTGTGTTCTGCAACCTGACTTCGTGTTAGGTATCCATTTTATCTCTCAGAGATTTATAGAATGGTTCACTTAAAATGAAATTAAGTGTTTTAGAAACAATGTCGCACTTACTTGAATAAGGATATTGTTGAGGTCTGTGCCTTTTGGAGGGACAAAGACAGTCTGCTAAAAATACCATGATCTGAAAACAGAACACACATTTATTTGATTCTGAAAGGCCAGACAACATTTGGTTTAAGGCAATATAAAAATAGGTGCTCTGTAGTAACTTTCAAAGTATTTACTTACAAGTCCTAGTACCAAACCAGAAAACAGAGTTGCCAATGCAAAAATGGCATACGATCCCCAAACCGGTATGCCAATGTCCTCTGTTAAGTAACTGTGGCAATGCTAAAATAAAAGAAATATGCATCATTTCAAGAACAGTAGAACCCCAAATTTGTCTCGATACACTTATTCAAAAATATTCAAGTTTGAGCACATACCCTGATCCACATTGATAACTGAAACAAAGCAGACATACTGCTCATCCTGAAATAAAAAAAACAAAACCAGAAGAGTAAGTGAAGACAGCCATCTTTACAGAAAAGAAACATGTGTATAGAACTATGACTGTGGCAATTCAGACCAGAACTAAATAACCATGCTGGTTTTACCATCACCCCAAAAGGTTGATTTTTCCCTCCCAACCGTTTTTCTTCTATCCTTCTGCACTGTATTTTACTCTGCAATACTCTTCCCTCTTAGAAGATAGAGAATTCTGGTACCCAAGCAAATTTCTTCAGGAAGTTTCTTCATGAGGCCAATAACAGATTCTCACATCACTTTAAGCCTGCAGCTGCTGAACTAGCACCTTAACTGATTTCTATTTGCATTAGACTGCTCTTCTTCAGGTAGCAGCAGCCTCTGAAGCAGCAGCTAGAGTTGTTCTTAAGTAACTAATACAAAACAAAAGAAGTGTTGCTAGGACATCAAGACTGGTTATAATAAAATTCAGGGAATGAAAAAGCTATAGTCCTTACAGCAATGTTAGTATAGTTATACTAGAGAAAACATTTGGTACATTAACAGGGCTGTTATCACTGCTACCTTAAAGTTAAGTCTTGTGTCGTGACCCCTCACTGTTACTGTGCATTCTTAACACTATGTTAATTTTCACATTCAGTCCCAATCTGTTTTAAAGGAAACACAAGACATGAAAAGGTAAGCCACCTTGATCAGCGATGAGATGAAATGTGCACTTATGGAAGCATTATGCATGCCTCTTTCCTAAGGCAAAACATTCAAAAATGTTACTGTGTTTTCTTACCATAGTCATTTTTCAAGTAATGGAATACCAATAGCATTAGCATATCCTGTTTGTTGCTGTGGGCCAACATCAATTGATCTAAGTGCCAAGTTTCAAGTTTAGATGTTTTGAATTCTCAGCAATAATGTTTTTTCTTTTAGAAATCTGAGAACTTTGCAAAGCAAAATTTAAGTTTTCCGTGGTGTATGAAAAAGCCAGAGGCTCTAGACCAGGATGTCTCAAAGCAAATTAGATATCAATACTTACATCAATGAGGAAGGACCAAACCAGGAAGAAACTGGTTCAATAGATTTCCATTCTTTATCACTGATGAAATTTATGAAGTCATTTTTAGTCCTTGGGCCCTGATACCTCCTAAACTCTCCATCTTTACAGCTGCTCAAAGGAAAAAAGAGGTGAGTCAAGATTACAAAGGAGCACAACAGCATGTAACATTTAACAGCACTTTCCCTCCCCTATTCCATAATCATTCTTTTATGTTGCTTTACAGCCAAAGTTCTTAGAAAAACTGAAAACCACCACCACCAAAGATCTTGTACTACAATAGCCTCATACTGTGCTTCTATAGAAAGCATCCTCTTAGTGCATTTGCAGAAGTGGAACTTAGATGAGGTAACAGGTGAGTTTGAGAAACAGAAGCACTCACCGAACAACGGATCAACTAAGGGCTACAAGCAAAATACAGTCACTGCATAATATTCTAAGTAGGGCTGTGCAAAGCTTTGGTAGCTGATTCAATCTGGAGATCTGGCCCAATTTGGGGACTGAATCTCTGAATCGAATCGGGAGACAAAGTAAACACTCCGAATCGATTAGAAGCATCCAAATCAATTTGGAAAAGCTTCGGCCAATTCCGCCATAGACATACTGCTCATCCTGAAATAGGTCTGTTGGGGTTAGGGGAGGGAAGGGGCATGGGAGAGGGAGGGACTGGGGATGGGGTTGGGACAAGCTGCCCACCCGAGGCAGGGGGCCACGTTACTTGGGGTGGGGGGCATGCAGGATTCAGGTGCAGCAGTGCTGAAAGCGGGGGCTCCGCCCTGCTGCCACTTGCCCAGGTCGAGCGGGGAGGGGGGGAGGGACGCAGGCACGGCTCACTCCAGGCGGAAGAGGGCAAGTGGCAGCAGGGGAAAGCCCCTGCGGCTCCTCCTGCCAGGGCAGAGGCAAGCACAGCCCGAGGAGCTGCGGGAGAAGCCCCCATGGCTGCCCTGCCTGGGCCCAGCCTTCAGCACTTAAAAAAAAGAGCCCCGTGCTCACCGGCTCTTGCAGCAGCGACTGGGGGCTCATGGCAGAGCCCCCCTGCACTGCACTGCACAGTGGGGATCGCACCCCACCCTGCCTGGCACCCACACAGCGGCTGCCCCATTGCACTTGCGTAGCGTGGCTCAGCAGGGTGCTGCGTGCTCCCTGGGAGCTGGGGCAGTTTCAGCAGTCAACTGGAACCTAGCAGCCCCAGGGCACCAGCTGCACAGGTGCCAAGCGAAGGAGTAAAGGGGGGAGGGTGATTCCCCGCTGCCCCCACTTCCCCATGCTGCAGAGGGGCTCTGCCACAAGTGCCCAGAGGTCTGAGTCGCCACTACTGCAGCTGACAAGTGCAGGGCTTTTTTTTTTTTTTTTTTTTTTA